ATAGTAGTGGGGATCGAAATACGGGCGAAAAAGAGGGGAAGCGAGCCATGCGGGATAAATTATGAGATTCCTGGGTATACGGTATACTGTGACTTGATGTTGATTGTATACTCTTGTCCTGTGATCCGCGTACCTGCACTTAATAGTTATACATATTTCGAACGATTCGATGATCAAAATTCCTTGTTTTCTGTCGCCGGTTCTCTAATTGACATGGGGAAAAACAAGCAAGCGCAACGAACGAAGAATAATGCTAGAGTAAGCGAAAGTTTTACGATAGAATTAGAAAGCCTTAGGTTATCTCCCATTTCAATCGTTTCGTTACCTTACCATATGTCCGGTTGTACTAGATTCTTCGAATAATAAAGATAGATCTAATGAAAATTGTGTGATGCATGATTTCGTCCCATTTTCTGATATAATATAATCAAACGATACTTGGACAACATTGCTCGGTGTAAAATGAAACATCTTTTGTAGCCATCGAACAGCAGCAGAAGTGCCGAACTTTTGGGCACTTCGATGCCAAATTTCGTTGGTTTCTCGGCTGTTAAAGACGGAGGATATGTACCCGTGTTACCAGGTTTAACAGTTTGCAATACGAACGAAGTGGAAATGAGCAATGTCGATAGTAACTTCCAAATAGTATTAAAGAAAATGAATAAGAAAGATGCGACGACTAAGTTCAAGGTAAAAGATGACGACGCCTTGATCCTCTCAAAATAAGGCTGAATCAATCCCTCGTCGTTGAATCATAATAATTTTAGGCTTTACAAGAGTTTGCGGTCATGTGCAAAGAGTCCGAGCTATCAGCCGTGGAAGGGATGTTACCATTCTGGCCACGCTTGTATTGTGCTTTGGCGATAGACGTGGAACACAGAGTAAGGGAAGCTGCTCAATTAGCACATGCATCCATTGTGAAACGCGTAGGCAAAGGCATAGCGATGTACTTGAAACAATTGGCAGGAGCTTGGTTCACTTCTCAATACGATACGTATCCGCCTGCCGCATCGGCAGCCAGTGGCTCGTTCAACGACACGTTTTCGATGAAAAAAGTGATCGACGCGATTGTGCATTGTCAACGTGAGATCTTGGCTTACATCTGCGATAATATCACTGTTCATAATGCCCAAACGCTGTCCACGCAGAAGAATCTTACTGCGGAAGAAATGGAAGCGAAATATCAGAGGGTGCTGATAGCCAGTTTACAAGGATACAGCGTTTATTTGAAAAAAGTTCCTATAAACGAAATCGAGAAGATGCTCGACGTTCACCAGAGAATCGTCGGCAGCAACAAGTTTTGGAAGCTGGTGAAGCACGATGCTCTCCCGGTTAAGACAGCTTTCTTCAACGTTTTAACGTCGATGATCGAGAATGCTAACGCACTCTTGCGAGACGAAAAGAAGAGGACAGTTACAGCTGTCATGAATAGCCTCGATGAATCGGAGCCTGCACTCCTCTCGGCTGTATGGGAATCTGTGCTTGTCACCATCAAAGAAATAGAGGTAGACATCATCGCTAAGCTTGCTGCGTGAGCGAACGTTAAATCATTACAATCGATCCTTCTTTCTTTTAGGATTGGCACGTTATAGTGAGTATAGAGAAACTGGTGCTACCAAAATTATGGCGTGTTCTACGAACCGGAGGTCAATGTTGCGCCAGTATAGTTTATCCGAGTCTACTGCCTTTCATCAGCCAATTCCCGAAGTTCAACGTCGATCCTCGCTACTTGTATATAAATTTCTTTAACAATATGCGACAGGGGTATTTATAATATTTCATTTTCGACATTGGCCCGTGCCATGAAACGGTTATCAACATGCCACGGGTTTCAGATTCTCCGTGAAAAGCGTACAAATGAGTCGATCGGAAATGTCCGCGGTCACGGCGTCGTTTGTCGAGTGCCTACAGTATTCCGTTCTCTTAAACATGAACAATCAGGACTTGAACATCGCGCTGGTCAAAGAGCAGGTAATATTCCATCCGTTGTAACGTCGCGGAGGTACACGAAATCTAACGTTCGATCGATCGTTTCAGCTGATACCCGTATTAGAAATGTGCTTCAAAGAAAACAGTCCTATGAAGCAGGTACTATTTTGCGAAATTACTCATTTACTAAGGTACTGGAGCAAGAATCGGAATAATGAAGAGTACGAGCCTTACAATTGTTTAATACAAGAATTTTGGCGAGATCTCGATTCGTTGTTTGGTACGCTTCTGGACGCTGGTCGAAATTCGGAGACATTCGGTGTTCCGGACACGAACAATTCTCAGATCGAATTCTTGGTCACTCTCAAGACAGCGCCCGAGCGTGGTCGTAAAAACCTAAAGGTAACATTTTCTAACGAGGAAGACGGCATGACGACTTGTCCGCCTCGAACGCAAACCATGGAGACCGATACCGATGCCCAGTTCCTTGCTGAGCTCAACGATTTCGTCGATTCGCTCTGTGTCAAATATTTTAAACGTATCACCGAGCAGCGCTCGAAGAAATACATCGTATACTTGAACAGGCTCATCGCATGCTTCGAGTGCGACGAGCTTTCGAAGAACCTGTCCAAGTTCTTCGAGACGGAAATAAATTATTTAAATTTCTATAACGAGATTTTGCGGGATTGGCTGTTGGAACGATCGAAAGACACCGAGCATATGATAGAATTGACGTTCAACGTTATGAAGTACATGCATGATTCCGAGAAGAACGAGATCTTGAAGACGTTGACAGAGTTTGACGATATCGTGATCATCAGAAGCGTAATGCAATGCGCTTTGTCCAAGAAACATAGAAATGACGTCGTCGTAAAGAAGTGGTGTTCGCAGTCAAAGATCACTGATCTATTGATAGACGTGACGAAGGAAATTGCTTCGGGCAATTATTCTGATTTAGAGAAGAACCAGAAACTGATTCTTCTCGCCTTCGAACCCCTTGTCGACGACGGCACTTTGTTGACGACTCAAGAAGGGATCAATGAAATTATGTCAATAATTTGCAATTCGTACCACGAAACAGATGAATCGTGTTTACTAGATTTCGCAAGATTGGTTACGAACATTGCTCCGTTGACGTGGACTTATAAAGAGACGATGGCCGGAGCCGTACAAATACTAGAGACACTGTTTCAACTACGTTCTCAAAGTTATTTCAGCAATAATTCTACTTTCCTCGACACGATGAGGAACGTGTGGAACAGCGGTCTCCTGAAAGCCATACAAACCCTCTCCCATACAGAATTCATCGATTTAACTAAGAACTTCGCGACTTCTATGTGGAGGAGGATCTACGACCAGTAAGAAAATTTACATACATCTTTCGTCAGACGGTTCGTCCCATAATAACTTCCCTCGCTTTACGTTTTAGAAACGAGGAAAGCAGCAGAGAAATGTTGGTAGACATAGCCGTCGATTTCCTGGAGATCGTACTCCATGACCAAGTCTCTATTACGAAGGATCACGCGGAACAAATTATTCTGACGTTTTTAACGGGCCCTGACATAACTACTTGGATGACGGATATGACTGGAGCAGCGATATACGCAGAAACGATATCTGGCAAACTGTACGTGTCGTCTCTCAAACAGGAAATAGAAATTCATCGAACGCGTATGCCCATCGATTTGACCAGCAACACGATCACAGACAGCATCGAAAATTGCTTGACATGGGCGCATTTCAATACGTATCTATTAAATAATATAAGCGCGAGATCGATCGATAAGTTTGACAGACAGGAAGCTCAAAACTTTTTTATATACAACTTGAACGTACCTGGGATCACGAGTCTCATAGTAGATATCGTCTATTCGATTGCTTTAGGTGAAATTTATACTGATCATTATAAATCTGTAAGTAACATACAGTTTGACGTAGAACTTGTTTTTGCAACGATTCATCTATGAACATAATTGAACGATTACTTTCAGACCAAGTGTTACAATAATGCAAATCAAATTTTAGCGACCGTACACGACAGTTTTAAACAATTGCGGAAATACGTCAACGACGATACGCTTAATGAAATTCTTGATCATGTGAAGCAGTAGGTATCTATTTTTTCTTATTCATTTAAGGATGTATTGGCTATACAGTCAATCCCAAAAGCTTATGTACCTTAGAAAAACGCATTTCCTATGATTAGAAAGAAATCAGACGTCGGAAGAACAATGCTAATAATAAATAGCTACGTGCTAAAAAGTATAGAAGGAAATATCCAATTAAGTATTGACGCTGACGAAAAATATTTTTCTTCCAAATTTCGAAAAATGCTTCAAATAAAAGTTGTTTTCCTTCTAACTTCGATATTTAACGAGTTACGTATGATTATTTGGCATTTTATTGATATTGACAAAATCCGACCGTCCCATCGTCGAAACAACCAACTTTTGGCAAAAAATTTCGTTTTTCTTCAATAACTCCTAAACGATTGGACTATGAAAAAATTGTATCAGACCTTTTTTGTAGAGGACGACGAGATCTATAATTTCTGTATAAATCTTTCTCGCTAGCGTCAATAGTTTACGAGCTATTGACGAAAAACGAAAAAACAGTTTATTGCAAATTACTTGAACCCCTTGAACAATCGCGAAAAATTGAAAAATTTTTTTATGTAGTTCATTATTAGCATTGTTCTTCCGACGTCTGATTTCTTTTTAAAAAATGCGTTTCTAAAGTGCATAAACTTTTGGGATTGACCGTATAGCCAATATATCCTTAATTATGTTACGGGCACGCGTTTATCTCGTCGATGTTCATAGGAATTATTCGAGCTACGGAAGTATGTTACCGTACGTGATACACTTCTGTTGCACCGAGTTGTACCATGGCACAGAACCTGAAAAACTGTTTGAGACCAACAGACTCAGTGATATATTTACTACGAGTGAAGAAACCACGCTGCAGAGTCTGCAGGTACACGTTTACATCATTCGTCTCTCTGTCACGGAATCAGCGGAATCAACGGAATGACATAATTTAATTTTAGATTTTTTCTAAATTGAACATTATCAAAAACATTCCACTGGCAACTGACAACGATGTCTACGAATTAATGGTAGCAAGGAGTATGTTGATCAACGACGCTGACCGCATGAACTATGCCGATATTTTGCAAAAAATAATATCTTACGAAAAAGAAGATCCTTCGTTATTGGCTCTCGATTGGTAATGGTCACAGAATTTGATCGAATCCACGTAATAGACAGAATCGAGCTCGTAATCACATTTGTTCGTTCACAGTGAAATTTCCGAAATTCCATGGGACAGACTGAGCGTATCTTTAGAACTGATAAGATTATTGACGGACCTCGTGAAGAGAGCACCGTCTAAGCTGACCGACGAACATTGGAATTTTATTTTAATCTCTTTGGTTCTGTGGCAATTGTCCATCGCTAAATCGAAACAAAACGCGGATGATTTTAAGGTACGCACATTGGTTCGTCCGACGCAACGATTCAAGAGGCAATGACCACCGTATAAAAATTTTTTCGTCAGGTGATTGCGCTGACAGTAGCCGTTTGCCAATTGTTTCACGCGCTCCAGAGTCTAATTAACAGACACGAGCAAGAGAAAGGAGCGGAAATGCCACCGACGTTACTCGACGAATGGAAGAACGTTTTCGCCGCCGATGTCCAAAATGCAATTGTACAATGTTGGATGTTCCACGCAGGTACGTTCACGATCGTAAGGTCAGTGACTTTGCTCATCTTATATCTTTGTAACTTGAATCGCGCTTTATAGATTTGAACAACGAGAAGGCGACGGGCTTAAATCCTGTCGTATCATTGGATCATCTGGGAAAAGCGGTAAAGATATTGAACGGAAACGTGATCTTTAACGGTGAATCGAGTACATCGCTCGAGGCGTCCGTTAAGCTAGCATTGAAATTACTTCAGTCTCCGGTAGTCAGTATACAATTAGGCGCATATCACGTGTTGAGACACGCCGTACCGGAGCTCGTGCGACGAGACAAAGCTACCGTTGAATTAGAAAACTCTGACCCGACTACGCTCAACATTAAAATGATGGAGGATATACTTGAAAGCACGCAGAACATCGTCAACACAATTCTAATGGATTTCAAGTAGGTCGCTCGGCGGGCTCTGTTCACCGTACGAAAATACTTATTCATATCGCCGAACGTATCTTTTAGACTTTGCGATACCGTCAGCTGCACTATTCAGCCATACACGGACTCTTACACTTACACCGTTGGATATCTACTGTCGTGGGCCATCATTTTAGACATGTGCGCTCACGCTCACGGAGATCTACTCTATCAGTATGCCGAACTACTCAAGTAATAATACATTTAAACACGTTTTTCGATCGTACCGAATGATCGTCTACACATACGCGTCGTCGTTTCATTTCAGGGACAACTTTTTTCCCAGTTTGTTAAATAATATATTCCGGTTGATGCCAGTAGAAGTGCTCCAGGACAGTAAGAACAAGGGCGCCAAGTTAGTGGAGATATTTTCCACCGAGCCATCTCTAGATTTCGGAGGTATTCATCGTCGTTCATTCGTTCGTTCGTCAGACTTTATCCTTTTCTCGATACTCATTAGCGACGCATTTGACAGAAAGTTGGACGGAATGGAGATTGGATCATATAGTGTGTTGGCTGTACACTAACAGTTTGAGGCATTTACCGGTGCTGGTAAGACAATGGTGGAGCACCGCCGACAGCAGAGTAAGTGCCGCCGTGGACAAGATCACCACGCACTACGTCAGCCCTATGCTCTGCCAGGAAGAACTCCGCGACAACAAATTGCAAAATATCGAGAACATGCATGTGAAAGTTCATCCGACGTTTCGCGAGGTGGTGGCCTTGTATCAGATGGACGATACGAAATTGGAACTTAACATCGTGTTGCCGCCTAATCATCCCTTGGGACCGGTTACCGTTGGACCCGGGCAACACGCGGGTGGAACCGCTAATTGGAGGAATTGTCACATGCAATTGTCTATATTCCTCACGCATCAAGTAACGAGCTTGCAAATTTTTGTGTCGCGTTTCGACCGTGAATCAACGATTCTTTATCTTTTTTTATCCTGTTCGCAGAACGGATCCGTTTGGGACGGACTCGCGTTGTGGAAGAGGAACTTGGACAAGAAGTTCGCCGGCGTGGAGGAGTGTTACATATGTTTCAGTATCTTCCACATAAACACGTATCAGATACCAAAATTGTCTTGTCACATTTGCCGGAAGAAATTCCACACGGCGTGTTTGGTAGGTTTACGACGATCTTATCGAAGTAGAACGATAGCTGCACTGAATCATCGATACTTTTTTTCAGTACAAATGGTTCAGCACCAGCCAAAAGTCCACGTGCCCGATATGCAGGAGCGTATTTTAAGTTACCTCGTTACAAAATCTGTTTTATTTAATTAATTAAGTTACACTGTAAATAATATCGAAGGAGATTTGAAAAAAGAAATGAATTTACAATAAAGCATCCGAGAAATACGTATATGCGACGTTGCGATAATAAAATTTTTTTCATGGTGATCGATCGAGTCTATAGGTCGAGATTATCTTCGGCTTAAAGATTACATCGAATGGTGTTTGCTCAATTGAGAACCGATTACCCGAACTCGATTGCGAACACTTCCAACGTAGATATCGCAGATCGAAGGAATTGTTATCCAATGTTCCGGGAAGAACTTAGGAGAAGGGGCGTTCAAAGACTACACAAATATTGTAACAGAGGCGATAAGATTACGGCAGCTTTTATTCAGGTGTCGACGAAAGATAAGTGTCAGTCATTTGTCGAAATTTTAACAGACTCGAAGATGTCAGGTAAGCGACCGGTGCTCCGTATCAGTTGGCAAAATCATATTTGTGATACTGTGTCAAAAATTAATTGTCGGCAATTGCAACGATTGCTCGATCCATTGGCGAAACGTTTTCTGTTTGCCCTCTCATTTGACGAGAGCTACGATATTTAATTAATTCTTTCGTTACTTAAAAAAAGTGTATAGATGGACTACTCGACGCGCGGGGCAAGGGGTGCCCAGTAACGCGGTTCACGGAGGACGCGACATACAAGGAAGTACCATCTACGTCGGCAGAGCGTACCACGAGGGGGACATGCTTCCGGCCAAAGTAATTCCCGACAATAACGTCGCCTATGTGTGTCACGCCGGGCAAGAACACGCCAAATACGAGTTCGAGGTGAGCGGTGCCGCGCCTTTCGTTAAAATCGTTAAATTCGAGCTTGACGCAATCTAATCGGATTGCTCAGATAAAAATGTTCCATTATCTTCCGCTATCTCTCGTTTTGTACGTCGCCTGAAACGGAGGCCGTGGAGCCGGCCGAGTGAATAATAAATCTCTCGAAGTTGATCCGCTGATGGTCCGCCGATGTAGCCGAGTGTATTGCGAGCGTACGCAGCACGAAATCGAGATTTCGTGTCAAGGCGAAACGAAATAAGAATACGGTTTGCGCGAGTCGCATCGATCCACGGGTTTCTCTTGATCTAACGTTCGACTCGCGACGTCGTGTCGACTTCTGAGAACGAACGATCCGACGGCTTGCCGATAAATGTATGGAATTTCGAGCGAGGAAACTTTTCATCATGCGGAATTGTTACTTTACAGGTTTTGTGTCAACCAGAATTCGCGTGGGAATATTGTCATGGAGGAGCGATACCGGGGGACGCGGTAGTCGGGGGACAGACGTCCGACGGAGAACGGCTGTACATCGGTCGTGTTCTCCATAACGGGGCTCAAACGGTTGGCAAGGTCAGATCTCCTCTTCGCCACGTATTCCCGATGAAAGATCGATAAGATCGGTCGCGTACAGTTCGCTCCACAGAAACATTTGTTACAGGTGCAACCCAGCCACGGATGCCTTTACATTCCCTTCGACGGCCAGGAGCTATCGTTCAGGGACTACGAAGTGCTCGTAATGCATTGACTCGATCACCGCGAATCGCGTAGAACAGATCCTCGTTGTAACCACCCGGCGAATCATACGAAAAATGTGTATGAATAAATTGTCGATTCTTCTCAACAATCGTTTTTATTTCCTGATAAAAATCCGGTTTTTCATCCTTGTGAAAGACCAAGCTACTGCCAAAGCCGGTCCGAAGCCGAGTCTCCCATCGTACAATACGTGCCATGAAAACACGAAAACAACAGACTTGTTAGTCGAAGCAGTGACATCGAATATTTTACAGCATCGTTCGAATTACAAGCATTACTCACTTGACAACGTCATACGATCGACTTAAGAGCCAGGGCCGTAACTTTCACCATTAATTTAAATCGACTGTCCGCGAGATCCGCCCCGAGCCCATCGGCCTCGATGTCATCGTCGAGTGTCATCCCCCGATCTCTCCCCGTTCGTCTATTCGGCCCTGATCGAGGAGTCCGAGTCCATCTACCGTTCCTGTAACGGACGTCCAAGGATTCCCGAAGGATTCGAAGAGCGTCGCGGACGGTACACGGAAACGAAGAAATATGCACGTTGAACGTGCAGATTGGCGATCGTCCGGCCAGCGGACGCATCGTAACCGCACGGTTCGTCGTCGGTGTTCAATGACAAACGAGATTTTATTTTTCCGGGTACCCGGTGGGGGAGGTCACGACGGCCCTGTCTCAAATAGGTATCAGCCGTAGAAGACGAGACCACTGTTGTGATTATTTTATCAACAAATTGCCACATCTCTGGTCCGTCGGACACATCGCTCCCAATGCTCGCGATCCAATGAGTGCGGAGTCGCTCGAGATCGACGCGAGCCAAACCGATAAAACAAGAAACGGTAGAATTTCGCGAGGCCTGCACCGTCCGTGAGATAAAAAAAAGAGAGTCGAATTTAAATCGTTCCTCCGAGCGAGCGAACGAAGGTCCTCGCTCGACGCGGGAGGCGAGCCTTGACCCGGAAACCGTTCGAATCGAATGAAAACGGAAACGTGGCCGTCGATCGCGGAAATGATTCGTACCGGCGTCGCGTTCCGTCGAGTGCGACGAGTTTCCACGGCCGGGGCTGGGTGGACGTACCCTCGAACGTACGCGTCCACATGGACAGGACCATCGAGATCGACGAGATTTCGGTGGGGACGACAGACGCGGAGGTGGTGGAAGAACCGAGCAGGAGGTGGCCGAGAGGAAGAAGAAGGGAAAGAGTCGACGCGATGCAGAATGGTGCGTTATCCAGGAGTAGACGGTCGAACGGTCTCTCTGCGGACCAACAGAAATTGGGCGAAGTTGATGTTGGTGCGTCGTTGAACGGAAACGATTCGGAGCGAGATCGGTCCTAGAGTGGACGAGGAACGACACGGGTTCTACCGCATCTATGAACCGAGAGCAATCGCTCGAGAAGCTGATCTCGATTTTTCAACTGGTCGGAGAGACCGCCTCGACGAGACACGTCCGTATGATTCTAATTGGAAACGGTCGGAGGTTTCACTTAAAGCCGAGGCATCGTATCGCGGACGGAATCGGAGGGATTCATGCGACGTAAACTTTGAGAAGATCCGTCGTTCGGTACGTAGATTCAGAGAAGATTCCCGGTGGGTGGAAGATGGCAGACCCAAACCCGAGCGATCCGGCCCCGGAGAAAAACAAGAAGGAAGAAGCAGCCGCGAGCGAACAGCCCGTCGTCGCCTGGGAATCGTTGACGTTCCGCCAGAAATGGGCCTGTTTCACCAGCAACATCACCGTCGAGCCGATGGTCGCTTGTTACGTGATCCCGTGCATGCTGGCTTCGCTCGCCACCCAGAATCTCAGTCTGGAGAAGGCTTGCAGGGTGAATCTGGCGTACCCCGACGAAGTCTGCACCGCGTTGGCCAAGAGGAACACCGCCGGTTACGAGACGGAAGAGACGGCGGTACAGCAGCTGGTAGCCGGTATGCAGACTTGGAAGACTGCGCTCTCGAGCGGCTTGCCGACGATCTTGATCCTCTTCATGGGCGCTTGGAGCGACCGCACCGGACTCAGGAAGCCGTGCATGCTGTTGCCGATCGTCGGCGAGTTTCTCAGCAGCGTCAGTATGCTGCTGTGCACGTACTTCTTCTACGAGGTGCCCATGGAAGTCACAGGCGTGTTCGAGTGCCTGTGGCCGGCCATGTGCGGCGGCTGGTTCACCATGTTCATGGGTGTCTTCAGTTACATCGCTGACATCACCTCGGTCGAGTCTAGAACGCTGAGAATCGGTGCCGCGAACGTTTTCCTGTCCCTCGGCGTTCCGATAGGCATGGCCCTGTCAGGAATTCTCTATCTGAAGATCGGATTCTACGGTGTCTTCGGCATATCGACGGTGTGTTATGTGCTCAGCTTCATCTACGGTCTGGTGGTGATTAAGGAACCGCCGAGGCAACGCTCGGACAAGAAGGAGAAGACGGTAGAGAAGAAGCCGTCCGTGTGCGCCTCAATCCAGGACTTCTTCGCGTTCAAACATATCGAGGAGACGTTCCGCGTCGCCTTCAAGACCGGCAAGAACAATCGGCAGAAGAGAGTGCTGGTGCTCATGGTCATCGTCATGGTCGTCATTGGTCCTCTATACGGTACGTCCGTCGTCCGATCACTTTCGCTCTCAGTGATGCGCCGTCTCCTATGTCACGCAAAGTTGCCCGCGAAAACTGCGATTCGACGAGACTTCCGAGTTTTCTATGCGTTTTTCGTCGATTTCTTCTCGTTTCGTCTCTTCTACCTATCGACTTTCATTTCGCTACACGCGTATGTACCGCGCACGTGACTAGATCGCAGCAAACTTGCCGAATCACGTTCACGAATCGTAATCTCTCTCTCTCTCTCTCTCTCTCTTGTACAGGCATTATAACATTTTTATTGTAAACTCGGTCAAAGAACGTGCAACTTTTCCGTTCAATTTAAACAGGGTACAGTTTCCTTTCCAGCGGCGTTCATTTCCATCGACTTTCACGACGCGTCCGAATCAACGAACCGGACAACGTTCGCCCGTGGCAGGAGCTAGCGAATCTGTGTTTCGTACTCTCGCCTCACCGAACGAAAGTGAAAAGCGAATTTCGCGCGATGCTCGTCAATCCTGCTGTTCGGTTCCGTTGCGATGACCGACGCTAATTGCACACGGCGAAGCGTTTCAGCCACGTGAAAGCTAAAAAAAACGGTTAGACTGTTAGAAAACGTAGAAGGAACAGAGTCCGAAGAGTCGTCGATCTTCGCGAAGCGAGATTTGCAACGACGACGAACGGATCTCAATCGTTCGACGTCCTTGTTTTTCTCGTTCCAGTGGGACGCGTAATTTCGAACCACGACACGGTGTCGCGACTAATCTCAAGTCGCAAATTCGTGTTGCAACAGAAGATTCCAGGCGAGTTATAATTTAATTGGACCGTTAATGCGATGAACATTACAATGTTTCGTCGCGTCTTTATCCGTGTTGGGGCCGTCGAGTCGCTATTGCAATTTCGTTTAATGGACCTCTTCCGGACTTCGAAAGAGCAACAATTAGATCCACGGCTATGTCTTTACTATACGAAACTACTCGTCTTGGAAACGTTCGACGCCGATTCGTCGCTGATCGTCCAGCCATTCAGTTTGCAGATTTCTGATCGCCGGGAATCGCGAACGATGTGTACTCTGTGAGAGTTTACTCCGTGCGTCGGGGTCGTCGTTTACTCGTTCCACTTGTCCGTTCGCACACGGTGGTGTGAAAAGCGGATTCACGACAGAGGACGTCGCGGACGGCGAGTTTAAATTTTTCAGGCGACGCGTAGAACGTCTTTTCTAGGAAGCAGATCGCCGAGAGATAACGACACTCGGCATTAAGAGATGATTCGATCGATAGGTGGGAATCAAGTGCGCGTTCCTAATGGTGGAACGATCGCGAAGAAAACAAAGCAATGATGTGATAATGGTCTAACTAAGTTCGACGGAAACGATTAACAGAGGAACCCGATGAAAACGAGCTCGTTGTGTAACGACGCGTTTTAACTTTACGTAATGTTGATTCAACAACGTGTCCAAATCGTGCGACGTTCCTCCGTCGGGTCTCTCAGCGTTCTTCTCTCTCTCTCTCTCTCTTCCGTCGGGCAGAAAATTAGAATCATTTTTTATAATTGAAGCAACGTAACTGCGGCGCGATGTACGAAACCTACAGGTTCTCCGCGTGCCGCTTTTAATCCCCCGAACGTATTACGCTCGGCGCACGATGCAGCAACATCGTAGACGTAGACGTATAGCGTTCGACGCGAACTGGCAATTCTGAAAAACGTTTTGACCATGATCTTTCGTGCCGTGCAAGCGGAATTGTTCCACCCACATTGAATTTAGAACATTGTAACCGGCGGCTTGCGGAGTTACAACACGTACGATGGCCGCAGTTTAAAGTAAATCAAATTATTGTCCTTGTTATTTGGGATTCAAATTTTTAATGAGCCCGGCCATTAAACGATTGACGACGATTGCGATTCTTTCGTCGTTTCGGTGGCACGTCAACGGCCATCGAGTCACCGGCATTGTTTGTTCTTTTCGCAGGTGAAATGGCGGTGATGTATCTTTACATGAGGTACCGGTATCATTGGAACGAAGTCATGTTCAGCATGTTCACCACGTTCGCCATGGTCACGAACCTCATCGGTGAGTAAATGGACAGTGGTCGAACCCCCGACGATTCAGCCGCCCTCGCCGTTCTCACAATTTCTTCGTTCGTTTACAAACTAAATAGAAAATTGATGACATGTGTCGAGAACCCACCACTGACGGCGACGTTTAATTCTTTCCGTCGTGCCACACGTAGCGGAACACGCGAAGGCATATTGAGAATCGCGTAACGAAACCTTCCGCGGTCTTATTCTTGTGCCTTTGAATTTCCGGTTAGCCGATCACCGCGGTTCGTTCGGTAAAAACGCTTCCGCCTCGGAGACGTATATATGTTCGTTCGGTTTCACTCTCTCTCTCTCTCTCTCTCTCTCTCTCTCTCTCTCTCTCTCTCTCTCTCTCTCTCTCCCTCCCTTTCTCCTGCTCTTTCAGCAGATTTTTTCAAGAGACCTCGAAAGTCTCGTGCGTAATCGTTCTTTTACTCGACCGATCGACGAAAGATCGTTATGCAATGGAACGTTGTTACCGAGCGGACATTATTTTCCTGACCGTCGTCGATCTACGACGAGGCGATCGAATTGATACGACCGGACAAACCGACGGGATCGCACTCTTTTCATTGCGACGCTCTTGGAGGATCTCGACGTACAAACGATGCTGTGTACCTCTTGCAGGAACCGCAGTTTCCGTCGGCGTGTTCAGCCACATTCTGAAGATCGACGATGCCATAGTGGGAATCATGAGCTCGATGAGTAAAATTCTCGCCGGCTTCGTCTACGCGTTCGCGATCACGGACTGGATGATCTATTTGGGTAATTGACCAAGAAGCCACGAGGGAAACGATACTGTTCGGTAAAACGGTTTCATATTTGTTTCAGCTGCCATCGTCGAGATCGTGAACGGCACGTCGTTTATAGCGATGCGATCGATAGCGTCTAAGCTCGTGGCCACAGATGAACTCGGTAAGCGAACGAGGATCTTCAGCTGTCGTTCGACAGTGCGCGGTAGAAACATCAAACGTTTTAATCGACGCGTTAAAAATTAACCATCGAGACTTCTATGACCGGTATTCAGAGTCGTTGCTTATTCTTAAGATCATCTTTAAACATTTGCTATCACCATCTATCCCATGTTTCCAGTCCCTGTCTTGTACAGGAAATTGGGACTTAAACAAATGCTTAAGACAATCTTAAGGATGTATTGGCTATACAGCCAATCCCAAAAGTTTATGTATCTTAGAAAAACACATTGTCTATAATTAAAAAGAAATCAGATGTCGGAAGAACAATTATTTCGGATGAAAAAAGTTTACTTGTTAACGTTCAATTAGATTCTGAACAATAAAAATTGATAGAATTTGTTATATTGTTTATATAAGTACTTTATCGAAAAATGCTTCAAATGAAAGTTGTAGATATTGACTCTACAAGAAAGGTCCTATGTCACTTTCCCGTAGGTCTAACGGTTTAGAAGATATTGGCAAAAATTTGAAGGAATACCCCTTGGAAAAATCTCGGAAAATTTTTTTTTTCTCAAAATATCGAAAAATTCTTCAAATAAAAGTTATAGGTACTGCTATTACCTGCAAAAAAAAGGTCTTACACAACTTTACAGATAGCTTTTTAATAGTAATAGGAATCTATAATAACAAATTCAACATACTAGCATCGTTTAAGTATGTAGCCTATACGTCCTTATGAATAAGCAACAACTCTGAATACCAGCCTATGAATCTTCTCGATCGGAGGAAGGATGCGCAACAGGTACTTATCTTTGAAGCGCGCTTCCATTCACGCGTCGTAACGTTCGCAACGACACGAGTGGAGAACGTATGCGCTTAGGATCGGTGCTCAAGGCTCTCGCCGAGCATAGGTCCCAAGGATATCGGTTTATATAATGATCAGGCGAACGTCGAATTACGTATTGGACGAAGATGTTCGTCCATCGATTAAAAGGTAAAAAAAAGTAATGTCTTACACTTAATGAGGCCTCGACTGGAAGGAAGAAGAAGGAAATTCCGTTGCACCTGCATTCATCTCTCGTTCGCTCGCTCGTACGTCTGTGCGCGTGTATTCGAAATACGACACCAGAAATTAGAAACGGAACTGGTCCAGCGTGACAGGCGGCCTTCGACCTAATCGGATCTGAAACGCGCGCGTTTACCTTCGCCTCGCTCGTTTTCTCGGAACCGCGCAAATAGGATAATGCATTTTGATCGCGTCACGGAGCGACCCGAGACCGTTACCGTTTCCGTTTCCGTTTCGAGCCAATTTTCCACGGGCCCTTCTTTCGGTTCGCCGAGCTCTCCCTGCAGCCCATCACCCGTCGACGGCCCGATCGTCCCGTCCCACAGTGTTCAATCGTTCGATATTTTCAGGGAAAGTGAACTCGTTGCTGGGCGTCTGCGAGTCTCTGATGCCCCTGATCTACGGACCCATGTACAGTTCCATTTACGCGGCGACCATGAAAACGTTCCCGGGGACGTTCTTCATCGTCGGCGCCTGTATGACCATGCCCGCTGTACTCGCGTTCTTGTAAGTACCATACCGAATCGCCTTCGATGTTGACGGTGCCACTGCCGGATCGTCGACGCGTATCCAAACATGCTGTGAACAAAACGATATTTTGTTACGGACAGCTGGCTGTACACGGAGCACAGAAGGGATCGTAAGCTTCAACGAGAAGAGGATAAGAATAAAGAGGAGTCACGGGAGAGCGACTCGAGGCAAATCGTTAGCGAAAACATGAAATCGGAAGCCCCTACGATGAACGGTATCATGAACGCCGCCTTTGAGTTCGATCACGTACAATAGGAAATTACTCGCACGGCATCAGATCGTTCGACGTCGGAAGTTCGAAGAACGTGAACGAGGGGACAGATCTTAACAACGAACTCGTTCGACTCCGACGACGTTTCAAACAAAGGATGACTCGTTGCGTGTCACGTGTATCGAATGCCACTAGCAACAAGAGGGAGAGAGAAGACACGCGGGGAACGATCGATCTACCCATCGCGCGCTTCGTGGCAATGACTATCCTTTGTTTCGAATCCTGGTACAAATAGTCTCCGGTACTTAATGAACAAATGATCATAGTAAATAAAATGGGAGGCATAGGCGTGTGTCTGTTCAGGCGTATCAGTATTATATATCTATACTTCCCTCCAAACTCTCGATCGGATCGTAATAAATGTGGAAACTGGCGGTAAAAACGTTCGAAACGACAACGCGAGTAACGAGACTCTTAGGCGACAGGAACGCGAGTTCAATTCTCCTTTCGATGCTCTCAGATCCATTTGCAAAAAAAAACGTTACAATGTACAGATTGTTCATTATCGTTTTCATCGAACCGAGCATCACGTATTTCAATAGATTCATACGAGTGAGTTGTCTGTTGTCAGTCTTTCAGTTTAATAAACACCCTGCGCCGAACATGCTGTAGAAGGCAGACTTAACGCAATAAGAGGTTACAAACAATCACGGCTAGAAGAACCGAGACACCCACCCTCATATCGAAGTAAATACAATCGCAATTAGATTCAATTTGCTTCACTTTTGAAAGTGCATTGTGCTACAGTTTTCTATACTAATTCCTATTCCAATCTCCGATCGAAGCTAATAGTCCTTCTCGTAAAGAACGACGATACACTTGTTCTTGCACTTTTCGACGATACGACTACGTGAATTGTAATATAAGACGATAAAAAATAATATTTTCGGAGCTGATAATACGTGGTTGCACTCACCCCAAAAGCCCGAGCGAAAAAGAACGCCACATCATGGCGGACCCACTCCACTGCGTCTGGATTGGGTGAAAATCCGCGAGTCGACTCTTCCGATTGGCCACTGAACTGTTCGCGATTGGCCGCTGTTTTCAAATAGCTGATTTTCAATATTTCACCGTTTCACATGTTTTGTGAAAAAGTCAAATCATTAAATCATTGAATAATAAACTGTTTACGATTTCGATCAAAATTATACCGGAATAAGAATCGGTGCTCTCTGTGAAACGATCGGTCAATGAGCGATATTTGAATCTTACATCATAGCATATGCTTCTAACTTCAGAACAGTGCACAAAAACATCTCGCTAAGAGGTGGGACAGAAACAACACTGACTCGTGGAGTACTTATTATTTTGCACGTAAGGAGAGGAATTGACAGATCCACGCTTGACACCTCGAATCATGATCCATGATCGAAAGGCTATTTTAGGCCTGTATCGAAATTTAATTCGAGAAAGTAAGAAATGGAATTCTTACAACTACCGGTAGGCGTAGGTTATACGTTGTGATAATTCGTCGTATTTGACTTGACGCTAATGGCCCTTGTTTCGCAGAATGTATGCTCTACGCAGAATTCGTCATGAGTTTCAAGAAAACAAAACTATACAAGACAAGGGGAAAATTACGGAGTATTATCATAAAGGAGTAGAAGCCCTGAACATGATCAAAAGACAAGTAATAATTGGAAGTCTTTACAGTACCAGGCCGTTAGTCATAGAAACTGTCGCAAACAAAGCTAATTTAAATTGATCGGGCGAATATATTTTATTTTATAATACGGGAGAGTCGACGTGAACTTTTGCCACCAGTGTATGTGTATATACCCTAACAGCAACTGTATCGAAAGCATGTAATAAAAGTATTTATTGTCAGCGTATAACACTTTCTTTCATACCAAAAAAATTGGCAGACGATTATTCTTAAACTAACGATCACGTATATACGTAGAATTTGTTGCATTGATCACGACGTGATGTACACATACGTATGTAATACATATATGCACAAAACGCACGTGAAAAAGCCTCTTATCGTGTACTGGTCAACAATTTCCGCGCTAGCTCGTATGATGCTCGTATCTTCTATATTTACGAATGAACGAATCTACTGACAGAACGAACAAACGTTCTTAAACCCAAACCTGATTGTAATTACAGGTTTGACTGCGAGTGGATCAGCTGTTTCGACTGTTTGTCGATGACAGATGGACTGTACAAGTGTGGGATACGATGAATCTGTGTGTAGATGAAAGATACACATACGTACCGAACCGAGACCTGACCTGACCGATCAGATATACAGTATAAAGTGCGGATTGCGCACAACAGCACAGTTGCTGTACATCAGCTGTACGTGGCTGCGTTGAAGTATTTACTTGACGATTAAACCGAAACATTAATCGAGATGGCTATGCGAAATTTGACGGAGCCGTTCGTTTTAATGCGAAATAATGCTCTACAGAGCAAACACATATACGTCGAGCAGGTACGAGACGTATAACCTACCCTAACTGAATCGTTTCATCTATGCGAACGACACGATTCATTTAGCGATGAATTTAAGAATTTAATCACGGGAAAAACATGGTTTCAGAATCTGTCCGACCGAATGGCCCTGGTGGCTTCGGATTCCGGCGCTTCGTCGGACAACGTCGAATTGAAAAACATCAACTTGGAGAGCAACGCACCACCTGCGTGGACGGATGCGTTGGAAGAGACACAATACATTTTGAGTAGATTGCGTATAAAGATAGACAGCTTGATAGAGGTGCATGCCAAGCAATTGACTCGACCAACGCTGGATGATTCGTCTCAGGTTTGTCGTACATCCTAGACGAAAGATAAATCGGACTTTTACTCGCTGGTGAACGATCGGCCGATCCTCCTGATTTATTTCGATCACTCGATTGTTAGAGCGCAATTCGTTAAAAAAATGTCTGCAGGAAGAGAGACAAATGGAACAATTGATCCGAGAAATAGGACGCGCGTTTTCTAGCGGTTACCGCCAGGTACAAACCATAAAGGCGGCGGCGAGGCACGCGAACAAACCCGTGGAACGTCTGTTGGCCATCAACGCGATAATGGCACTTTCGACGTCTCTGCAAGAGCTGGGCCTCCGATACAGATCCGCTCAGAACCACTATCTAACACGTACGACTCATACAACTGCCAATTCGTTTGTTACAATTTATAGTGGACTGGACATGTTCGAAAGATCTGTTTAATCTATGTTGTTCAGAGATCAAATCGAGGGAAGAAAGGAGTAATCAATTCTTCAGCGAGGATCAATCGATGTTCTTAAACGACACCGTCACGGATTCGTGGTCGATGGAATTGAACGAAGTACATTCGAATTATTGGGAAAGTAACGAACAGAGGCAGGACACCGTGCTTTTGCAATTGGAGGATACGGAAGATAGAGTAAAATTAGCTGTGGAAAGAGAAGAACAAATTGGAAGCATAGTACAGAGTATAGCGGACCTCAGGCATATATTCAAAGTAAGAGAATTTAAACGTCTACGTAGGATATTAAATAAGATACATCGCATGTCGAACGTATCGTTACAAAGAGTAAGTGAGACGTTTCCATGGAACGTTACAGGATTTAGCGAGTATGGTGCAGGACCAAGGCACTGTTCTAGATAGGATCGATTATAACGTCGAACAGGCGCAAGTTCAAGTGCAAGAGGGCTACAAGCAATTGAAGAAGGCCGATTCTTATCACAGAGCCAATAGAAAATTGTATTGCATCGTCGTGCTCGCGGGAGCTATAATCCTAGTTAGTTTTCTCTTCGTAGTGTTTAAAACATGAACCGCGGATGGACATACCTTCCTCTCGATTAAGTAAATGCATTTCAGTATCCGATTATTATCGATGATCAGTCATAGTCGACGACAAACAAACATTTGATCAAGGTTCCGGATGAATTCGGCGGATACACACGTATCGCATTTTATTCTCTCTTCAATCGAAATCATTCCGAGGCATTCCCTTCCATAAATTAAAGATGTTGAAGTTTCCGAATCGATACGATCGAAATGTATTTCACTGGCCGTGTAATGTAATATCTAATGACCTTTCCATCGATCCATCTTCTGATCGAGATCGATGAATACAATTCATTTTTATCAAGATCGTTGTTTGTACACGTATTTTTTATTTACTGTAACCTGGTGTACGCGAGTAAGCGAACCGAAGGGACGAGCTAATTCAAAGTAAATACTACTCTCATAAAAAACGGAATAAAAGGAAATCGGAAAATCTGCCAAACAATGATTCATTATACCTTTACGGTTACTATCTGTAAAATTCTAAAAGTGGAAAAATAGCTTTACGTTCGATGCGTAACATCCTTAAGTTTACTTTAACGACTCGTAACAATGTTCATTTCAATAAATGGAACTTACAGTACTAAGTGCTAGTAGGCAAATGAAAAAGTTGTACTAATCTTATTGTATCGTACCATCTCCCGTTATATTTTGGGCCTGCTTCCGTTCGAGTTCCCCAGCCCCACCCCTCGTTCGATGTGCGAATAGAAATTGTCGTACCTATCGTCGTATCGTGTCCGGCGGTGCTATTCTCGGATCTCGCCGATCGCCTGTAAATGGATCAAAGGAACGGGAAATCGGTCTCACGTGGGCGACGAACTGTTCAGGATATGAACTAAAATTCCGAATGCCCCGCCAAGTACGTAACGAACAAAATTGTCGCCGACCAAAGGGCCTAATGCGTAAAGCCCGGATCTCGGGGCTTTCGTCGCTTCGTAAGTAAAGTCATCGACCTCGATCGGATTCGATTTACAGTCTATGGGTTTGTCGGGATATTTTCCAAGCCCGATACCAGCTGCCTCCAAATAGGACAGGTCAGGCTTGTAACCTGCAAACAAGTATTCACGTCTGACGACACCAGTTCTCGACTAGTTTAGAAATAATTGCATACAGACCGATGAGTATGGCTACGACGGAAACGCGGAACGCGTGCACGTGTCCGGCCGAATCGGAAAGAGTGACCACTCGTCGATCGGTCCCGTCCTCGGGAAACCCGATCAAACTGTAACTCGGTAACGTCTTGTACAGAGGATAATTGGTACCACCCTCGGCCATCATCTCGTAGACTTTGTGGTATTCGGGATACATCGAACTGGGCAGGCCCTGCAATCTTTCGTAGAAGGCGCGTTTCTTCTCGGCGCCCGGTTTCCCTAATTCCCCAGAGGGATCCCGGAACGCGTGTAGCACGGGAATGCCGCGGAAACGCGCGGCTATGATCGCGTCCGCGGCGCTCAGCCCCGCGCCGATCACCAACACCGGATCCACCGATTGTCTTCCTTCCACGTTGCTACCTGAAGTTGATCGCGCTCAGTATCATCCCCCTCGAACGACTCTACTCGCTTTCACGTTCGTATTCAAATTTTCGTAGCGTACCGTGTTGTCGATCGAGCAAACGGTCCAACTTGGACTCCAGCTCGTTCAAATCGTGCGTCACCCAATCGGGATGGGAATCTTCGCCGGGTACGCCCAATCGATTTGTCAAATCGGTCGTACCCGTGGCGAGAACGACTCTCTTACATCGATAGCGAAAAGGTCTTCCAGTTTGCATCTCGAAACCGTCCACTGTCCATCCGTGACAATCGTGTCGGCCGTTAGAACGGTTCTCCGAGGGCCTTACCGACGTGACGATGGTCCCGCTGAAGAGCAAACACGATTAGTACAACGAGACTCTAGCCGCGCAATTAGAAATTCGCAGTTCGAAAATTAGTCAGAGGTGCGAACCGACCATCGGAAGTACTGCTCCAATCTCTTCAGGCGCACGTAATCCCTGTAATACGCAGCCACCGTACCAACGGAAACTCTGCTCGCCGTTTTACACGCGTACGGTTCGCCATCGCTCGCGTTTGTTCTACGAAACTGTTCGGATTCGATCAACGCTTCCCACTCTCTTATGTCTAAATCCGGCATCGACATCCATCGATTCAAGCTGATGGTCAACACGTTTGGATCCATCGACTAAATAAAATCAATACTCTGTAATGTGGTTTCATTTACAACGTTTACGCGGTGTGTCGTCGTGTGAGCCACGGCGGTGTAGGACATGCATACGACCACGACGATCGGTAACGTGATGTACTGTTCTATTCTGTAGAGGTGATGTTTATTACATTAAATAAGAATTAACCGGGAACGGAAATTTATGTGAAAGTTTTACTAACTCGGTACAGTAATAATGAACTCGATAGATTTGACATAGAGCTTCGTGACTTTAGACTAGACAGAAGGAACTTTCTCTCTGACAAGTTTCAGGAAAATACGTACATATATATACACGGTGTCTCAGCTAAAGG